CAGAGGAGAAGCGAGGTCTATGGTTATCCCTGCTACCCCCATCCCCAACTAGAGGAACCCGTTGCCCTTGTGGGCCTGAGGTTTCAGGAAGGGGTGAGGACTGAGACCTAGAATTTAAAGTCTCTCCTGGGCCATCTCTGTAGAGTCCACCCGTGCCTGCTCTCCAACTGCAAAGAGCAGGCGCAGACACAGCTCCAGCCTCCTCTTGGCCTGCACCGTGATGGCAGGCTCCGCATGGACTACAGGACTTCCTTGTTACTCCACTCTTATGCTTCAACAAATGTCCTCCTCAAAAACCCAGAACCCTGCTAGCAGCTTTCATGCCCCAATTCAGCTAACTTCTGCAATACTTTTCGAGGGCTGTGCTAATTCCCAGAAACCTTCTGGGCAAGGCCCTGCCTCTAGGCTTTTGAGAAAGACCACCATCCAAGCCTGGTCGTAAGTTTGACCTTGGGCCTCCTGTTTGTAGCTAGGACTGGTGACATATTCCTAGGAGTGACCTGAGACATCAGTGCTCACCTGGCTAGGCACCACTTGAGATGCCAGTCCAGGATCTCAGCAACAGATGCTTATGAGCCTTGCTGGCGCTGGAAATGGAACCTGGTTCGTCTGCAAGAGCAACAAGTGTTCTTAACCTCTGAACCAACTCTCTAGACCCCTATGGTTCTCTTTTTGAATGCACAGATGTCGTTTTTCTGAGACATTTCACAAACATATGGTATGTAAGTAGCACTCTTCAAGATAAAATTTAAGAAACAATCTTGAGTCGGTTTTCAGAAGACAGGTTTTTAGGTTACTGTTTCCAGTTTTGTGTGTGTATGGGTGTGTGTGTGTGACGCCAGCACGAGTAGCATGCGGAGAGACAAGAAGCTGTCACTGGGTGTCGTCCTGTTGCTCTCCACCTTACATTTAAAGTCAAGGTCTGCGACTGAGCCCAGAGCTGACCAGGCTGGCTGCCCACCAGGCTCCTAGGACCCACCGCTCCCTGCTCCCAAGGCCCAGTGCTAGCCTTTCCCAGTTTCACACTGGTACTGGGATCCAGACGCCAGCTCTCATCCTTGCAGCACAAGCCGTTTACCCACTGAGTTACTGCTTTAGCGCTGGCTTTGTTTTTTTCTGCATCGTTGATTTATTCTGTACATTTAATAACTTTCAAGTTTTTTTTATATTGTCATTGTTTTTGCTTTGTTTTCCCACCTTGCTAGAGATTGGGCCCAGGACCTCATGCATGCTCCGTGTATGTGTGTGTGTGTGTGTGTGTGTGTTTATGCGATATAATTGTCTTGGAATACATTAGAATAACCCTCTAACAGCTAGTCTTATTGTCGCTGGGTTTCAATCTGCGGAAGAAGCCAGCCTTCCTTCATTCGATATCTTTAACATATTCTTGTGGGTTGTTTTGGTTTGCTTCAATTATCAGTGTCCATCCTTTGCCAACACTAATGTCTCAATTACAGCATTAGATTGTGAGGACCTTTATAAAAGACCACACTGACTGTGTGACTTAAACAGTAGATACTTCCTTCATGCTGGAATTAGAAATCCAAAGTAAGGTGTTGGCAAGTTAGTTCCTTCTGTAGGCTTCTCTTCCAGGCGTGCAGACGGATACTTCCTCCTGTCTACACTCTCCTTAAGAGTCTTCCAGGCGTGTGTAGACGGATACTTCCTCCTGTCTACACTCTCCTTGAGAGTCCTTCTTGCCCACTCTCTTACAATGAGAGTCGCCAATGGATTGGGATTTGTGCATAAACCTCCATTTTACCCGAATTGTCTATTAAAAAGTTCTGTGTCCACATCCCATAATACTGTGCATACTGAAAGTTAAGTTGGAACTTAAATATCTGGATTTTCAGGGCGCTCATAACAATTATATAGTATAAATTAAATATATTATATGTATTTACATTTTTTTCTTTTGGTCTTTTTTCACTCTTACTCTACTTAATATTTTATATGTAAAACTTAATATTGGGCAGAAGAACTAACTGTACCATCACTATAAGAAGTTATGTGAGAATTGGGATTGAGGATCGGATGTATGGAGTTCCTCTCAGAGTAGAAGTGAGAGAAACCCAGGGGTTGAGAGCTGTATTATTTCTCTTTTCTTTGGCTCGATTACCAACCCCCCAAACCCCCAAAATGCAGGGTGGTCATTCACCCCAGAAGCCTGGACGCTGTGTCCACACTGGGTGTTCAGGATCCCAGTGTGGCAATGAGCCTTTCTCGGGGTGAGCTGTGAAGCACGAAGACCATGTTCTGGGTTGACCTCCTTCAGTTAACAAGGACAGTGAGCCAGAAGCAGAACCACAGAGGCTAAAAAGCAAGGTTAGTGTATTTAGAGACTTTCCCATACATACGGACTTAGATGGAGCAGGTCTTTGTTTTCATTTGGTCAGACGGTACTGTCTTCATGCTGAGTTTTATGGCCTGAATGGTACTTAATTCATGGAGTCAGTTGTGCTAAGGTCTGGGGCCCTGTTACGGTAAGCCTTCCCCACGATCTACAGGACCGGGTCTAGGATGGGTTCAGAGCATGCCAAACACTTCTCCAGGGTGTCACAATAGGCTGGCCCTGGCACAGCACGGGAATGATAGGCCGAGACTCTGGCCAGCAAGTAGATCACACAAAGCAACCAACAGGGAAGGCACTGTCTAGGGCCACAACCCCAGCTCTATCACCAACCGTGGCACAGACCAGAGTGGGGGTGGTGTGTCACCACAGCCCTGATGAATCCCCTTCACAGCGGATGCAATCATCCAGGCTCACCGCTCTGAGGACTTGTATTGGAAGTCTGCCCCACAATGCCCAGGGTGTGGTGGACCATGATGCTGGAACCAGGAGGGGATGGTGAGAACTGTTGCTCTGGGTAGTTTTCACATTGGCTGTCCCAAACACGAGGAATGTGGGCTACTGCTTTTCTCAGGGGGTAAGTGTCAAGGCTGTGACCCCCTGGGTGGGTACATCTCATGCAAGGTCTGCAGTGCTTGGCACATCAAGGGCTCTAAGCCACCAATGCTACCAGCTGTTGACTCTACCTGCCTCTGGGATCTCAGTCCCTACCCATCATGCCCTGACACCTACCTGTACAGTTTGTCACCAAATGTCTCTTCCCCTGTTCATGAAACAACAATCTCTATAGTTTTTTCTTTTACTTATTTTTTCAAGTTGGATTCATTCCTTGTTCAAGAAAGCATCAGATGGGTGGCGTCCATGCAGCAGTAGGTTCCAGAGAACAGAGGCCCATGCTTGGGAGGATTCTGAATCTTTCGTAGAGGCCGCAGTGGTCATGATAGGGATCGGAGCTGTGGGGCTCTGGAAGCAGAGCCAAAGACAAGAAGTCACCAACTTATGTCCCTTGGTCAAGGGCATGGAGATCAAGTCCCTGAAGATCTACCTGTTCTCTCTGCTCATCTAAGAGCATGAGATTATTGACTTTTTCCATGGGGAGTCCCATGATGAGGTTTTGAAGATCAGGCCAGGGCTGAGGTGGATATGGGCTGGCCAATGTTGTAGTCATCGTGGTCTACAATAGTTATGTTGGCCTGAGTGTTAAGAGCCCCGAGGAGGTAGCTGCTGGCATCTATAGGGCCAAGATTTCCATTGTTCGGTACAGAGATGCCACAGCTACTGATGGAGTAGGAATGGCAGACTCCACACTGCCATGTGAGGTGACAGGCTGCTGTGGCTCTCCGCTGCTGTGCCTCATCCCTGCCCTGAGCTCAGGCATCATGCCTGCTCTTGTATTCATGCCGATGCTGCACTGACATAATGGGTAACTTCACCAAGGCCATCTTCGATGCCTTCTCTAAGACCTTTGACTTCTGGAAAGTGGCTGTATTCACCATTTTGTGAAAACCCACAGCAGTCTCCTTGCAAAGGTCTCCGGCACCAATTATGTATGTATGTATGTATGTATGTATGTATATATTTGCTTGTTGGAAAAAGTGTTGGATTCACGTTATAATTAAAAAAATTATTTTCCAGGACAGTAGTAAGAATAGGCAGAAATTACAGCCAGTGGATTTCAAATGAGAAGACAAGGGTTTAAGATCTGTAAACTCTACATAGCAACTTCACTGTAAAAACTTGGGGTCACCACCTCCCTCATAAGATCACACACCTATTAAAACGTGAGGAGACTTGCATCTCCTTGTTTCAGAAGACTTTCCTTAAATGTGTGTGCCTGTTCTGTTTTGCCTGTATGTATGTATGTGCACCATGTGCATGCCCGGTGCCCACAGAAACAGAAAAGGGTGTTAGGTCCCCTGAAGCTGGAGTTAAGGACAGTGAGCTGTCACGTGAGTGCTGGGATCTGAAGACAGGACCTCTGGAAGAGCAGCCAGTGCTCTTATCGCTGGAACCATCTCTCTCACACTCTTTTTTTCTCTTCGTCAAACCTTTTTTTTTTGTCAAGATGGCTTGGCCTACTCTAGATAACTATATCATATGAATTTTAGAATAAGGTTTTTAGAAAAACATGTCTGAGCTCATCATTTGAGTTGCATACCAAATCTATACATTAATTTTGGCAAGTTTTGCATCTTGTGAGTTTTCTAATGCTTAACACAGTATATCCATTTATGTAGACCTTCTTTAGTTTCTTTCTACACACACACACTTCTTATAGATGGTTAGGTTTGCATAAACTGGGACTTGTCACTCTATGCCCCAGGATATTTCTTTACAATTGTGGCTTTAGTTCCAATACTACAAAAGTCCATTTTAGAGCTCCTTTGAGTATGTCATGGCTCTCCACAGTAGGTGTTTTCCCTGTTTATCATGAGTGGATGAACCAAGCTCTGGATGATTGAAGAGGTCATGTGGCAGGCAAACTTTGTCACTGAGAAATTTTGGATCCCAGTGTATGTGTGCAGACCTCTAGGGCTTCCAGCTTGAATTTTAGAAATATTTTATTTGTGGTAAGATTATTATTTTACCAGTTTTGTGTGCTAGTGGCTTTTATTTCTAGCTCAAGTTTCAAAAACAAACACAAAAAGCACAAGAGACTAAATTTTTTTATCAATCATCCCAAAGTAGATTATATATTACAAATTCAGATCAGAGTAATAATATTAAAAGTATTTTCAGTAGTACCATAAACTATACCTGAAGACAAAAATCAGGTAGTAAACTTGTATGCATACATGGAAATCTCATGTTTAAAACATACTTTGTCTAGAAAACTCACATATGACATGTTTCATAGTCATACACATGTTGACAGAGCTACATGTGATTTGCATTTAACAAACTCATGAACTAGTTTTTATGCTTTGAATAAACTGTCAGAAGGCTGTAAGAGCTTACAATTTTTAAAGTGCAGGACAGAATGCTTTATATGACAAAGCTTTCCTATAGGTTTCCTTCTGTAAAAGCTTCTCAGAAGTAGAAGTTTGGATGACTATATGGGCCCTCAGAGAAATTCTGCCAGGTTGGGTTCAGGAATTATAGGGGCAAATGCTAGCCTAGGTGTTCTGAGGGTACAGAACAAAGTTCTCAGAAAGTTTGTCTTAGCTTACGGGTCCTATATACAAGGTCTCAACACTGAAGTGGTCTGTTTGCCTACAATTAACTATAATTAATGTTTGCTCTAATGTGAGGTGACTTAAAGCAGCATTACATACCCTGCAGATTCTTGACCAGCTTAGGCAAAAATGTGAATCTGTGGGCAGGTGATTGATATAAGGATATTCTCACTCTCTCTGTCTCTCACTCTCTTTTTCCTCCTTTTCCCTCCCTCAATTAAGGGTCCTAACATGGCAGTCCAGGATGGGCAGAAACTCACTATGTAGCCCAGGCTGGCCTTGAGCACGATAGATTCCACTAGCCCATATCTCTAGCCAGGGTAGGCAGTAAATAACTAAGTATTCCAAAGCTTTGATTCTGCAGATCATTACATATAGTGATGTTTGCCCCCCAAAGCTAGAATACTGAAAAGCAAGTTCATGGCAAATCAGGCACCGAATCTGAGAGTAAAGTGTATTAGAAGACAACAACTTGGTCAACTGAATGAAAACACAGCTCTATTTACAGGCGGAGGTAATGCGGCAATGACTCTCACTTCATAAACTTCACAGTCTGTAATGTGTACATACAATAAGACTGTCTCATTACACTTACTGTGCGTGTGTGCGTGTGTGCTGGGGTGGGGGGGGATGAAAGCACATCACAGCCTGTGTGCAGGGCTCACAGACAATTTGTGGAGATCAGTTCTCTCCTTGCAATATGTGGGGATGTCCTGGGGATCAAACTCAAGTTGTCAGCTTTGGTGACAAGTGCTTTCACCCGATAAGCCACTGCGTCAGTGCCCCACCCCCAATTCTATTTGTAAGCAACTTCTGTCACGCAGCCCTCTGAGTAAGGCAGCATCCTCCTCACCCACAATCAATGTGTCCAATTTAAATGATTACCAAGGAAACAGGAACTAGGAAATGGCACACTTACTTTACCCTACTGAACTGAAGCACCTATGTTTCATAATCTTTTAAAACATTTCAAGAGTCAGGAACCACAAGCTGATGTCTTCAGACATAAACTATTCTGTCTTTTGTAGAGAAGGCATGTTTTCAGATAAAGGCAAGAAGGTAGCCTAAGACTTCTGGACAAGAAAGAAGCATTCCTCCTTAGCATCTCTGTCACCTCAGGCCTTCGGTGTTGCCGAGGTTGCATTAACTGAGCTCAGGACTGCAGACAGCAGCAGACTTGAGTCACAGAATGCTTGGGTCTCGGCCTCAGCTGTTTTGCTGAGTTCAGTCCTTCCTGTGATTACTCACTGGCTGAGAAAAAGAGGGCTAGCAGGAACGTTTCACTACGTACACAGCGGCCAACTTCATGGCCTGCAGCTAGGGAGTCTGGGAAGCCCCCTCTCTAACTGCTCAGCTACTCTTAGGGATGCCCAGTGTGATTATTATTATTTTATCCCAGCAGCCAGATGTCAGTAACTGCAGCCAAGAGCAGGGCGTGTGCTCCGTGCTTGGAGAAGCAGCTGGCTGTTGCAAAACGAGAAAACACTGGCTTCTCAGGGTCTCTTTGGAGACGTCCTTGGTTACACTCCTACCAACACGTTACTAGAAGAGGGATCTTCAAGCAAGCCAGGCAATGGGACCAGAAAGTAGTCATACAGGAGAGGGACAGTTGGCATGTTCAAAGAGGAAACAAAAGTGATCTGAGAAGGTGCAGGGGTCAGTAAACCTAACCCAAGGTCTCTGGACACTCGGCAGAGTTCAAAGGTTAAGAAGTACTGGCTTTGCTGTGACTGAATCACAGGATCATTTTCAGATGCAGGCCTCGCCTTCAAATTCTAGGGAAAGGCTTTCATTTTCAGCAAGGTAGGATGGAACCTCAACCCTAAAGCCACACCAGCGGGAAGACAAGAAGTGTCCCCTGTATAAGAGATTACAGACCTCTGACTATGGCCCAGGTGGCCTGTATTCTGGACACTTCCAGACCTTGAACTCCAAAGATGGATACTTGTACAAAGTAACTTGAACAGGAGTAGGTAAGATGTCCTGGCAGAAGATGGGAGCTCTCAAGAGATATGATGTAAACTTCCTTCTAGATACTGAGTACATGCAAATGGTCCTCTCCAGACAGGGTGGGTTCTTCTCAACAATGTTATTACCATCTGTTATATTTCTGGTGCATGAAAATGAAATTAGGGTTGGATATCTAAAACCTGGATATACACTCTATGGACTTATTTTCTAGGAAAGAACTGTTTATGACCTGTAATTTGGGGGCACGTTTGATAATAATTGTAACGGTTCCTGAAAATCTGATTCTGATGGTATATTGAGACTTGGTATTCCTACATGGAGGATGCATCTTCACAAACTGCTGCCTATCGTCCATCAGAGTTGTTTTCATGTTGATTCTAAAGTTTGGAAGTGGGTGGCTTCAAGTGACTTCCCCCAAGGTTTCTTTGTTTGTTTAAGTTTCTGCCAGCCCACTCTCTTAGAGGTTCTGCTTTCCATTTGAGTAACTACAGTTTGAAGGGAAATCTGCCAGGCTGCCATGGGAAGCATCCCTAAGCAGCAGAGAAGAGAGAGCATCATCTCTAAGGCAGCGTCTATTGCGCCAGGCTCCCCTGCATACCTCAATCAGAGCACGTCGCTCAGGTACACGGAAAGAGACGGGTGCAGCTAACCCAGCCTACTCACTCACGAGGGTGTTCGGAGAAGAAAAGGGAGGCCAAGGGCTCCAGCAGGTGTAGTGCTTGGGAGGAGGGACGTCTCAGTCCTTGTAGTATTATACTCAGCAGAAAGAAAATCTAGAGACGGACACAGACTTTAAAAACAGTGATCTGGAATGAGGAAGAGTTACCAGGATCACATTAATCCTCCATTTTGGAAACCTGAGGCAATACTGGATAGAAAAATGGACAGTAATATCTTTATGCTAAATAAATTAGTGTGTAGGTTATAAATTAAAGAAATAGAGGTACGGTAGATAAATAAATAAAGGGTATATTTAGGAATCTCAGAGGTGTATCTATTAGTATTTAGTGTCAATATTATAATTAAGGATAGAAGAGTTATAAGTTTAGATAATATGCAAATATCCATGAATGCCTCCTATTTTTTAAATCTAACAGCGATTGAGAATGAAATAAGGACAGTGAGCTTTGCAAAACCACAACTTTCGGACAGCATGACTGAGTGACTTATCAACAAGGACTAGTGCGGGTCAGTGAAGACACTCCTGTGACGTCAGAACTTAAGCATCACACAGGCATCGACTTCCCATTTCAAATATGAAGACCGTGTGCGTCTTGACAAGACTTGAAACTGACTCTCATCTTCACTCTCATCTCATCACCCTGTGCTTTAGCCAACTGAGGATCACAGTGCTTGTGAAATGAGTCTGCCACTATCTTTCTCTGTGCGACTCAAAATCTAACCACTCACTGCAGTACTAACTCATACTCCTCCACCTTAAAGAGGCCCCCACACAGCAGCTTCAGTCCTGAGGGCAGGCAGGCAGGCAGGAATTAATCTTTCCTAACCAATGTACCTGCCCTTACCGTTAAGTGAGCTCACTTCCCGTATCTACATAACTCACATTTTGAGATTCATTGTGGAATACATCATAGTGTACATCAGCTCTTCAGAGAACAGGAGTGCTTACCAACATGACAAGAGAGAGGCAGGCATTTGCTCATTCATCCCCGCCTGTCCACCAAACCAGCTAGCATTTTACCTGGTGAATAAACTCCTCAGTAAATGTTGAATGACAGAGCTAATTAGATGGTCCACGAGTTAGAACAATTTTGTCTTCAAACTTGTTTATCTTCTTTGGCTCTCACATGAGGCGAAGACAGCAGCCTTTAGACAGTTACCCGTCTTCTGTTTGGGAAATGTCCCTCCTTCACTTTGCGTTCTCAGTACAACTGGATAACCTCATCCCACTCAGAAATGGGCCAGATCCCATTGGGCTGCACATTTGGAGGTGAGCTCTTCCAGTCCCACGTCTGGACGGGAATCTTCCAGGTCTTACCATAGTTGGCTTCAATGTAGTCTACTGTTTCACAGGGCACATGGACTTTCATGTCTACAAACTCAGTCCAACACAGCGTGAACTTGGGAAACAGGTACCTGCAGCGAGACAAGGGCAAGCAGGGAGCATTAGGCCAACTCTTGGCAGAGGGTCAGTCCTCTCCTATTAAGCAGATCTGGGGAGAGAGTTGGTATTTATTTTTTAGCTGCTCAGCACCCCTTTCTTCTTTTGGGGCTTACACCCTGTTCTTCTATTCTGCATCCATCTGAAGGGGAGCTAATCCCTTCCATAAGCCTGAGAGATGAGAAAAAATACAAAGCAAACCAATCGTAACCTAACCCAGCCTGGTTAGTAAGTTACAGTGATTGCTTCAGATATGGGAACACACCAAAGTTAGGCATATCAAAGTCAGCGCCGGGGCTTCGCTGGGAAATTGGGAAAAGAGGTGTCATAACAAAGTTTCCACAAGATGGAGGAAACGGTCATTTTCTTTTCTTGTACAATCTGGCGTTCCAAGGGGTACAGATTGATGCCAACAGCATTCCCTAAGTTTTTCCTCTGCTTGATACACAATAATAACTGTATGTTCTACCTCTCTTTCCTCTTGAATTCTAAAGAACATCTCTAATGCTCTTGAGAGGGGAAGGAATGAGGATTAGGAGTTCAAATCCAGCTTCAGTCATACAGTCTGGGCAGTCTCGTCTACATAAGATCCCGTCTCAAGGGTGCCTGAACTGGCTTCCCCTGTAATCAGATTGATGAGTACCTGAATTATCACCATGGAACCTTCATCCAGCAACTGATGGAAGCAGATGCAGAGACCCAAAGCTAAGCACTGAGCCCAGCTCCCAGAGTCCAGTTGAAGAGAGGGAGGAGCCATAATATGAACAAAGGTGTCAACACCATTTGGGGGATGCCCACGGAAACAGCTGATCTGAGCTAGTGGGAGCTCACTGGCTCTGGACTGACAGTGGGGGAACCTGCATAGGACCACACTAGGCCTCCTGAATGTGGGTGACAGTCGTGTGACTTAGGAAGTCTGTGGGGCCACTGGCAGTGGGACAGGGATTTATCCCAGGTGCTTGAACTGACTTTGTGGAGCCCATTCTCTTTGGAGGGACACCTTGCCCAGCCTAGATGGGGGGTTGGGGGGAGAAGGGCCTTGATCCCTGCCTCAAACTGATGTGCCAAACTTTGTTGACTCCCCATGGGAAAGGAAGCCTTAGCCTCTCTGAGGAGTGGATGAGGAAAAGGTGGGAAGAGCAGGAGGAGGGGAGGGAATGGGAACTGGGATTGGTATGTAAAACGAGGAAGGATTGCTTTAAAATAAAATAATTTAAAAAATCTATAAAATGAGACAGTCCCAGCAATCCCATATCTGAATACCTATCTGACAGCACCTAAAGCAGAACATTCAGGACGTATTTGTACATTCATGGTCAATACAGCATTAGGGAGAGACAGCCAGACTACCCATAAATAGATGAGTGGATTGTTAAAATACGTCAGTGTTTACACAAGAATGTTACAGTCCAAGGCAAAGGAGGAAAACCTATCACATTCTACCGCATGCAAGAGTCTTGAGGTTGCAATTCTACGCACAGTATGTCAGCCACAAAAGGTCAAAGTCCATGTAATCCCACTTATATGAAACAAAATGTGTTTTCAAAAATCACAGAAATAGAAAATAGAATAGGGGCCACCTGGAGCTAAGGCTGTGGAGGGGGAATTCACGTCACCAGCTTCAGGTTTGCAAGATTGTAGAGTTCTTAGTACTATGAACTGAATACGCTTCCACAATGGATTTTACACGTCAAAATTACTTAAATGGGAAATTTGATGTTATAGAATATACCACAGTAGAAGATAATCTATTTAATGTTATGATCTGTTATTAACAATATTGTCTGTATAAAAATCCATACCCTTCTTTGTATTCACACATACTTTCTTTTCTCAAAACCTTTTGTGAAAAATACAAAATGTATCCTTTATTGCTTTTGATACCTCAAGGAATATGTCATAATTGACTATCATTTTTCTTAATATCAAAATGACCATATGTTCATTACTTTCTGTAGAACATCCAATATTTCCACTACCACACCCGTCATTTCAACATTTTCCCTTCAATACAGCGATGAGACCATCACCCCTTGTACTCAGGATTTTTTCTAAAAATTGAATTGCAAAACTAAGTTAGTTTTCCATTTCTGAGGTTCATGTACTACTAATTTTCTCATGAAAACAAAGGAAAGTATTGAGAAAATTCTTTAAAAAAATACACAGTCTCAAAAAATATTTAAATAGATCCTTTGGGTTAAGTAAATTATATATATTACAAAAGAAAGTTAAAAGCAGGAGGCCTATTTTCAGTCACATACCTCTATATCCTGTGCTGTATTCTCAATAAGGAATTTTTTCTTCATAACTCATGTAGAACTTTCAGTAATTCATCCCAAATGAATCAAAATAATAGGAATCAAAATTTAATATACCAGAGAATTAAGGAGAGAGTAGAGAACTGGAGAAAGGAATCTGATTATATTTGATTATCATGTTTGATCACCAAGTGAATCCCAAGAATGAATTCTGCTTTTGAATACTTTGTTTCACCACTAAGAAAATATAAAGCCATACATGAAAGTGAGTCTGAATAAATGCTAAAAAAGGAGCAAGTCCACTACAAAAGCCAGTGGGTACTGCAGTCAGTGGATAGTCCCAGCTGACAAATCTCATAGCTGAGACAGAAACAAGATACTGCTTAGACCCACCATCTGCTGGTCCTAGTTTTACCCTGCACACTCATGTCCACGGAATGACTTATTTGTCATGAGACCTATCCATCCATCGTCAGCCTCCACCCCCACAGTCACCTGCTCGTCAGCAGAATGTCCACCTGCCCCATCCTGTCAGGTCGACACAATGAACCCAAACTGAGACAGACACGATCTACCTAGTAACAGCAAGCAGAAGCTTCTCCCTTCAATATTAGCCTTCAGTCTCATCAAAGAGCGGAGAGAGAAAAACAACAGCTTTAGGATATATGTGGTAGAATACTACAGACTACAAAAGCAATGCTTGAAACAGTGAAGAAGGATCTGAGAGCAAACCCCAAACACTTAAAACACAGAAACAACGTGAAAATGATACAAAAACAATTCAACTCTAATGCTAACTTTCGTTCCTAACCAAATCCCTAGACTCTCTGTGATCTTTCATCTCTCTACTCATTTTCAATCTATTCAACAAAAGAGTATCTTGGCTTCCCAGGAGAACAGGAAAGATAAACAGTCCATAAAATGTGGTAATTGTAAAGTGGGGCCATGGAGAGAGAGGAAGGGGGCGGTCAGTCACACAGAATAGCACATGCGCGGGCTTTGCCTGGGTTACAGTAAATAAGGTCTGATACTAAATCTCCTCTCAGTGTTATGCCAGACTTAAAAGCCATGATTGAATCTGGCAGAGCACTGTGAACGTTAAAGCCCTAGGATGAGATCCAAAACTTGAACAGATTGAAACTGAGACGAAGGCTCCCTGAATTAGGACACACATTAGAGATCTCACTATCGCAGGAAGTCCTCCCGTCTGTCCTCCCAACTGTCCTACTTCACTTTATCCTATGTCTGCCTACTACAGCAGTTACAACAGTTGCCAGATTCAAGAGTGAGTTCGAGTAGAATATTTTTATTTTCTTCCAAAAATTTTAAAACCAATAAAGCCACTTTGGGGTAGTTAGAATAATTTTGCCAGCTTAATTGTACAATCTTTGAACATAATTGCTAAATGAGAAGGAAGCACTCCCAGCACTGTAGAACAGTGTGTTTACTGGCACTAACTAAGGAGCCTAAGTGACACAAAAGCCATCAACTACAACTGACCTGACCATTCGAAATGTTAAGTCTGCACTAAACATTGCAGTCACAAGACCACAGCCAAATTCCCCCCATTGAAATTTCTCTCAAAACACAGTTTATTCCCATTAGCATCTTATATTGGCTTAACCACCCAATTTACCTGCTATTCCAGGGCCTAAACACTAGGGTGCTGTCTAACAGGAGTTGTCAACACACACTGCTCCTTCTGATGGTAATGGAAAAGCTTCTGAAGGTTCACCATTAAGCACGATGCTCACCCTAGATTTTCATTATCTTCCCTTCATCAAACCAAGGAAATCCTACATCCCCTTTAGTTCAAATTCTCTTAAAGGCTCTTGGGTTAGCTATGGGAATTTCTGTTTCCTCCGTCATCAGTTCAGTCACCACCCCTCCCCCACCCGTGTGGCAGTGTTGGAGATGGGATATGAGGCCTTGGGCACAGGAGATGCTCCCTTCAGTCCTGCACATGCACTACAAGACTACACAAAACTACTCGTTTAGCATGTTTTCACTGTGCCATTTCCCTTCTTAGAAATACTCCGGGTCAGTCAGTGCCCAGGCTTGCTGAGTCTGCATGCATTTAGTGACTGAGCTGCTCCCTTCCTGGGTTTAGAAACAGGCTCTGTCCCCTGTGAAGGAAGGCATGAAGGACAGTCTACTCTCTCTGTAAACCATGAAGGTCTTGGTAACTTCTGGAAGGGAAAAGAAAGAGAAGGGCTTTCTGGTTACTAGTTCAGTTTCCTGACTGGGTATAGGCCATCTGTATCTTTCGGAGTTGATTCTTATCCATATTTTTCTACATTTTTGCCACTTCCACATACTACCACAGTGCTACATTGTTGATCTAAGGTCACCCACGGTGTTTCATTTTTATTGTCAGTGCAATGCAGTGAGAAGCATAAAGGGTCAGACATCTCGGGGTTGGGGCTCAAATATTATTTTTATTTATTCCATTTTCCCTTTCCACCTTGATCAATCATGCTAAAGGTCTGTTAGCTGTACAAATTTTAAAATTAATTTTTATATTTACTTATTTATTTTGTTTTTCAGGATAGGGTTTCTTTATGTAGACCAGGCTGGCCTAGATAAAATTAATTTTTAAACAAACCAGCATGTGGAAGTGATCTTTTATACTGTTTATTGTTTTATTCATATCTTCTGACTTGCTTCCTTCATTCTCCACAGATGGTGACCTCACTGATCATTTGTACTTGCCTTCA